CACTACAACACAAATAGCTTTTAGCAACATTTGAAAATTGTTACTTAATGATGTATAAATGTTACTAATTTGTTTTAGCAACATATTATCAAATGTTGTATATAGTCTATGTTGCTAAAGACTTTTAATAACATTTTTATATAATTAGGTAACATTTTTTAAATGTTAGCAAAGTAGTATTTTTGTAACATTTTAATGATGTTGCTAATATTTTGCTGTTCATATAATCCATGAAAACAGCTGGAGCATTCATCACCCCAAAAGGCATGACAACATACTCATAATGGCCCTACTGATTCCTGAAAGCAGTCTTTGATATGTCCTCCTCCTTTACCCGAATCTGGCGATACCCATACCTCAAATCAATCTTGGAGAAAATAGAAGCTCCCCTCAACTGATCCATTAAATCTATCCTTGGAAATGGATACTTATTCTTGATTGTCAATTTATTTAACTGCCTGTAATCCACACATAACCTCACACCACCATCCTTCTTCTTTACCAATAACACGGGTGCTCTCCATGGAGAGACACTAGGTCTGATCATCTGCTTCTCCAAAAGTTCCTCAACCTGCTTCTTCAATTCAAACAACTCTGCTGGTGCCATTCTATAAGGAGAAATAGACACTGGTCCCGCTCTGGTATAAGATCAATACTAAACTCCAACTCTCGCTTTGGTGGTAACCCCGGAACATCATCCGGAAAAACCTCTGGGAATTCTCTAACAATATCAATACTATTCAACAACTTTTCATTCTCCACACTAATAAAAGATAAGATCATAAACCCAAGAGCTCCACCCTTCAACAACCCATCCACCTGTCCACTAGAAATAAACCTCTCCTATTCAACAGTAGGAAAGATTAATCTCTTTTCTGAACAATCTATCAAAATCCTATTGGCAGAAAGCTAATCCATCCCTAAAATCACATCCAAATCAGATAGAGGTAAACAAAACAAATTCACTTTATAACAATGCCCTTCCACTTCCATTGGACATTTCAAACAAACCTCAGAAGTCAAGACAGAACCCGAAGCTGGAGTAGAAACAACTAGATCCACACACAAGGAACTCACAACCAAATTTAACCTTGCCACACATTCATAAGAAATAAAAGAATGTGAATCACCAGAATCAAATAGAATAGAAATATCATTACCATCAGCTTTGCCCTTTCCTTTTACCAGCTCAGATGACGTTTCAGCTTCAGCATCTGTTAAAGCAAAAACACGACCTGCTGCAGTAGGCCGATCCACTTTCTGGTTCCCTCTAGCTGGAGTATTTCTGACATTGCAATCTTTAGCCATGTGACCCACCTTGCCACATTTAAAACACACATAGTCCTTTGTAGGACAATCCCTCATCATATGTGGGCCTCCACATCTGTAACATCTAAAACTCTGAATAGCTTCTGTAGTAGTAGTCCCCATTGGTTTCTTATTGGCATTTCCCTTCTGAAACTGAGATGGTCTCTTTTGAGGATGTTTCCCCCTCCCAAATCCATATGATCCCTCTGGACCCTTTGCCATTCTATTTCCTCCTTCAAATCTCTCAACTGTTTTTGCCTTTTCAACTAGAACTGGGAACTCCACAATCCCCATAGGAACAATAGTCTTTTTCAGCTCATACCTTAAACCCTCACTGAACTTCCTGCCTCCATGCTTCAGAGATAGCTTGAGAATAGTACGTAGCCAGTGTTCAAACTTGACCACATACTCTTGTACTGACATATTTCCTTGTTGCAGTCTCAAAAATTCAGCTTCCTTAGCATATCTGGCGCTATCTGGAAAATATTTCTCTAAGAATACCTTTTTGAAATTTTCCCAATTCACCACTTCCCCTCTAGCTTCCATCATAGCTTGAGCACCTTTCCACCAAAAGCTAGCCTCACTCACCAACATATAAACAGCATAAACTAGCTTCCTCTCCTCGGGGCATTGCATCACCATGAAGATTTTCTCCATCTCTTCAATCCACTGGTCAGCAACTTCAGGTCCATCAACACCTACAAATTGAGGAAGATTTCCTTTTCTGAACTCTGACAAGCCCCTATACTCATCAGGTACCTCAGCCCTAGCTGCTTCAGCTGCAGCCCGGTTGGTCTCCATCTGAGCCAACAAAGTATTCTGTTGTCCAATAGCAGCAGCAATTAGCTCCATAGCCTGAGCAATTTGTCGCTCATCCACACCTGAAGAAGGATTAGAATGGTTTCCCTTACCAACCATCCTAATCAAGATAAAAGATCAAGGAACCCATAAGTTTACACCAAAACACATAAGAAATTCCTTTCCAAAATCCATTTCCTCACAACAGAAACATAACAAGACCATTTCCCACAAACCCTAAAGAGACTCGACCAGCTCTGATACAAAAAATGTAACGACCCACTCTAGGCCGTCACATCCAGAAATAACCAATATGACAACTAAAATAAAATAATATATAATTTAGAAAAGAGAGCAAAGGCCAGCTACACTAGAGTGTAAATATACAATAACGTATAAATTGTTTCCAAAATATATAACATATTTTTATAGCAGAGTCACTATCCTTAGTAAGATTATACAGTAATCCAAAAAGCTAACATTATGAAAATATAAGATAGACACCCTAGGTGCTGGTCAAGCTCTAAGCCTAGCCACTTCTCAATGCAGCTATCAAAAGACTCCTTGCTATCTCAAAGCATCACACCTGATCTACTCCCCCACATAATGAGATCATCACAGTCCACATCATGGAAATATAAGGGTTAACACGTATAAAACCAACCATAGTATAATCAAATATCATTAAAATAGATGTTTCATTAACAGTATGTATCCATACCAAAGAAATGACAACATTATAAACAGTTATTTCCATGTCAATATAAACCAATCCAAAATCCAATGTATACACATCCATCCCAATGCATACATATTCTATGATAATAAAGAATCCATATCCAATGTAAACAATCCATACCAAATGCATACATATTCCACATCCAAACCAAAGTCACACCACTGTATAATCCCATGATGTAACCAACACATCCAAACCAAATGTTGGGCTCAACACATCCAAACCAAGTGTTGATTCGGTGAAACATGTCACCAACCCATGTCACACACCTAACCTCTCATGGAAAATATACAGTTAGATTATGTCGTCACGTAACCCTGGTGATCGTGGCCACTTCATCTATCGGTATGACTCGGCCTTGCCCCCATACCGGTAGCAAATAGAATACTTAGAGGAGTACTTCAGAATCCACCTAACATCTGAAGTGGTTTATTATGTAACCTTTAGAAAAGTTTCATATTGGAATCCTCACCATGGGATTCCCAAATTCCATATTTTTGCAAAGATTATATCCTGATCTCACCAAGAGATCTAATCCATACCATAACCTTACTCCTCTAAGTTCTATTAGCTTTCCAAACCAAACACACATAGCATATTCCATAATTACATACAAAATTTTCCATAACCATGCCAAATCATTCAATATAATAACATAAATAATTAAACACCTAAAACAACCATCAACTTAAACACATGACAATCTTCATATAAACAAAATAACATATTAAAAGTTATACTACCCCTATCATGCTCATACATACTAGATTAAGTCTTATAAGTACTACCCTTACTTGGATAAACAGGAATCGAAACTAGGGCAAAACCTCCTCCTTTCCCTCCTCTTTTCTTACTCCTAGCAGAACCTCCTTATCTGGATTTCTCTTCCTCTCTCTCCTCTTTTCTTTCTCCTCCTCTTTTCTCTCTCTAGGATCTCTTCCTCTCAAATTCTGGATTTCCCAACACCCCAGCCCCCTATTTATAGAATTCTGCCTTACCTTACCCGGAACGGCCCGTTCCAAAAGTGGAACGCCCGTTCTGGGCCCAAAAAATCTACGTAAGTTTTAGAACTGGAACGATCCGTTCCAAAACCAGAATGACCCATTCTGGGACTCATCCAGAAAGGCCCGTTCTCCTTCTAGAACGGCCCGTTCCAAAATCAGAACGACCCGTTCTCCTTTTGGAACGGCCTGTTCTAGGCCCGTTCTCAACTTTAAACCTAGTTCATTCTTGGAACGGCCCGTTCCGCTTTTGGAACAGCCCGTTCCAAGTTACCAAAACACCCTATACCTTTAAAAAAATTTACGAAAATTCCATTAATAAATAATAAAAAAAATGGGTATTATAGCGTTCGCCACTCTTCCCAGCAACACTCACTTCTTCACTTGTTCCTAATTGAGGCTCTGGCTCTTCTCCTTGGACAAAATCCTACTAGTTTTCCAAAATCCCAAGTTCGAAAACAAAGGTATTTTTACTTTCTCTCTAAGCTTACTATAGAAAAAAAATGCTCTTTTTGTTGAGTTGCTCTTTTTTTATTTTTGGTTTAATATGTGTTGGATTTTGAACTTTGTGCGTTTCATGGGGGACTAGGGGTTAAGGTTAAAGGACAATATTGTATACTGGATCAATATTGTATATTTAGAATGAGGAAGTGGCCATGTGTCGTTGGGTGGCTAAAACACATATTCACAAATGGGAGACATGGGTTGCTTGTGTGGTGTTTTGAATTCTAATATAAAATGAAAATGAGTAAAAATGTGAAGTTTTAAATGAAAATACGAACATAGGTTAGATTAGTTGCAATTTTGCATTTTAACTTTACAGGACATAGGTGAAAGTGTCATTTAGGATGCTAGTGAAAAATTTTGAATGTCAAGGTGGTTAATGTTTTTATTTCTTCTATTCTAAGATGAGGTTTGAGGATTGTTATTGCTTTAATCTACATTGGGTTGAAGGTAATACTTATGTAGGATTTTAATTAATAAGTATCTTGAACTATCTTCTCTTAAAAGGATTGCAAGGTTGAAATGCCATTTCTCTGCAAGAGTGACATCTCTATGTTCAATTTTTGTTTAGTAGTTATCTATGCATTGAGTTGTATATGCAAATTACATTTGTGCCTCAAATTGAAAGTATTTGCTCAAGTGGACTATGAAATGCCTACATTTATATTTATGTGGGCAATTGACTGAACTTCAAATTTTGTCTCCCTGGTCTACTTTCTTGTCTTTACATAATGGGGATGCAAAGGTTGAAAGCATGATTTATGTAATTATTTTTATTATTTGAGTTTCTATGGATGAACTTTGTATATTTTGAGTTGTTTGATCTATGACCAATATGTGTTTTTTTTATGGAAATACTACCACCAATTATATGTAAATAATTGGCTACATGGCTTTTTTAGATATGGAGCACGTAAGGCATTCTATATAAATTAAGAGATTGAACAGTTTTAAAATACTAATTAATCCTCTTAGATATTTGTTGATTTTGATTCAGAAGGTTGTTTGTCAATATGAATTGTTACCTATGTAACTCTGTTAGATATGTGTTTGAGAAGATTGAACATTTTTGTTCTTGGCCTTTTTTTGTACGAATAAATAACTATTGATTTTTTGATACTAATAACAATTATGTACAAAATTTAAATTAATAGTGTTGTATGGTTTTGTAAAAATATGAAGTTTTAAATGAAAATGAGTGAACTTTGAATTTTGTCCATTATTCTACTCTCTTGTCTTTACATAATAGGGATGCAAATGCTAGATTAATTGACACGCATAAAATTCATGTATTAATTTCAATCATATTTGATAGTTATAGAATGTTTGCTTTATTTGATTTTAGACCTAAAGCTGCCCTGGAGTTGTTGTTTCTATTTTGGTCACTTGGTTCAACTCTGGTGCTTCCTAGAGTTGTTGTTTCTATTTTGGTCACTTGGTTCAAGTTTGGTGCTTGTTGTTTTCAGTTTGTTAAATTTGAATTGGCTCTCTGGTTGTTTCCTATATATGCATCTCTTGTCTTGGTGTTTGCTAGCTTAACAAGGATACTGGCTTTTAATTAAATGTATAAAGTAGAGTACATTGTTGTTTTTTTTATTTTCCTGTTTAAAGAGTACATATATGATGGAAACAAAATGTATAATTTTGAATTCTTTCATTTCATATTCACTCGATTTTCTTTATTTAGTGTCTTTATTTTTTCTTCCTTTAACTTAAATTCACCCAATTGTGGTCAAATGTCTATAATGACTAGGAAAATAAGTCCAATAAACATAAATTAAAGGCTTACTTAGACTTGAAAGTGAGCCCGAAGATATCAATGTTTTATATCGAAAAGTTAGCAAGGTTAGCACCAAAAAGGAAGTGGAGCCAAAATAATAAGAGAAAAAGGTGTCAACTTTCAAATGGGCTTCTTGATAAAACATGGTTTGTTTAAAATTTTCTTTAAAACTTTCATGAAATTGGTAGAGTAATAATGATTCTACTCTATCCAAAAAAAAAATCAATAATATATTGTATTTAGTGATCTAAGAAAATTGATTAGTTTATTTCATGATTTGTCAGCTAGTCATTAGATTAGAAACATGAAGTTGAATTAGTTATGATCATATATCTTATAGCTTATACCTTCTTTTTTTTTTCAATGTACCATGATTTAGATCCATATGGTTTTAATAGATGTAAAGGGATTAAGTAATTTTTGAAGCTTTTGGAGAGACTTTATAATTATAAACACACTAATGATTAGGAAAGCCACATACACAGACGAACATTTTTTGCCCAAAAACTACTAAGTGTTAAAAATGAATGGTCATAATTATAAATTGAACATGTTAGATTTACAATTCATCTCTCAATCATTAAGATTTCATGTCTGAATTTCATTAGTTGCACAGAAAATAGCATGATTGCATGTAGCTCAAGGTTTAAGTTAGCTGTCAAATTTTTTAATCATAAACCTGGAAAAATGTGAAGTGTTTTAACATCCATTGGAAACACTAACAAGGAATGTTCATGTGCTTATGTAGAGGAAAAGGTTCAAGGGCACTCTTGAAAAAGCTCAAACAACATGTGCTCATGCATAAGGAGGTTCAAGGGCACTCTTGAAAAGGCTCAAACAAGAGGTGCTTATACATGATGCAAGGTATTATTTTTATCCAATTGGAGTGTATAGGTGATTTTCGTTTTAGTTTTAATTAGATTTTGTTTTGTTATACATGTGAGTCTAAAAGACTCACTAAAGTGTTGTGATTGAACTCTATATATTTTGAGTTGTCCAATTTATGAACAATATGTATTTTGTGTAAATTCTACCACCAATTATATGTAAATGTTTGGCTACATGGCTTTGTTAGATATCTAGCATGTAAAAATCT